CTATATTTCGAGAATCAGAATCGGGTTCTTATATGCCACTGAATTTAATCAGTGATCTTTTTTCTTTGACTTCGTTCTATATTTGGGGTTAGCTAATGCTAATGTTAACACATAGAAACACCGTTGACCGATAAGTAGAACTAATTGATTCACTATCAAGTCCTTCACGATGATTCCTCCTTGATCATTTATGGAGAGCCCGTTAGGAAAGATTGATCATTTGAGACAATCTAACTCTCGTATGATGGAGTCATATTGGAGAGTTGGGTCGTCCTTGTTGTTAGGCCACCTCCTGGCTATGTCTTCGGATGGAATCGAGGATCATACACAACAGATCTACGTCGAGAACGTCCCGGCTCGACCTATCCGATGCTTAAGTCACGAAATGAAAAAGGAGGTTAACAATATAAATAAGAGAATGAAGAAATCTTGCTCGTTTGCTTGTGTTTGACTTGAGGCTCGATTTTTATACCTGAACGCTTGATGACATGGACGGATGCTCGTGAAAAGCTCGTAAAATTTTTTTTTTGATGATGTTTGAGAAGTTAACGGTAAGAAAATTATAATTCGTGTAGAATAGGAAAAAACAGGTTTTTTTTAATGATCTTTGAGAAGTTAACAATAAGAAAAATATAAAAAAAAAATTGAGTATATTAACGGAAAATAAGTTTATAACCTTCATGATTTGTCAAAGAAAACCTAATAATGAATTGCAAACAAATTACCTTTGATGAGTAAGACTATTGTTAATTACCATAAATATCAAAAGATCTTATTTTCTTGAGTAGATAGAATGGTTATACATTCTATCTACTCGAGTATGAAAATAAAAAAAATTACCCTATCCAAGTATGAAAATTTCTACTAAACAAATATTTTCATGATTTCAAAATTCAGTTTATATAAAATGCTCGCAAAGGCATGTTAAAGACTTGGAAGAGAGAAGGGGAAGACGGAAGAGAAAACTCCTCTTCGACAGGGGTTAGGGTTTCGGGATGGGTCTTTCGGGGAAGATCTTCGTAGAGATAAGGTGATGGTGCGTGTGTCAATCGAAAATAAGAGAAAACAGAGAAGGAAGAGATTACGCCAGCCGACGGTGGCCAAACGAAACAAGAGAGAGGAAAGAGGAAAGACGAGAGCTCACGTCGAATTGATCTAACCACAGCAGAGTAAAGAGGGAAATGGTTCGGTTCACTTTGAACGAGTGTTGTTTCGATTCACACACTATTGAAACGAACCTTTTGGATAGCAAGCAGTACTCGTCAATGTCGAGGGTTTCTTCGTCTTGCAAAAGAAAACGGACCCCAAAAAGATTCTTCCACGCCGCGCGGGGCCCCATTTCTTTTGACCCCTCCCTTTCATCTTGACGTGAGCCGACAGGAGGATAGGCCAGTCCTGTGAATATATATATATATATATATATATATATATATATATATATATATATATATATATATATATATATATATATATAAA